GTATGGTGCTGATGATGTTTTAAGTAATTTCAAAAATGGTTTTGGCCATTATGTGTTTAACAGACAGGAGCTTTTCTGACCTCCACAACCTTAAGAGCCAACACACCTATCACTGAACAATTTGAAGGCAGTGTGTGGGGCTGATGTGTCAAATTTATGGTTCAGAGTGTTGGACTAATTCAGGTGGTTATTATTCCGAAATGTATGTTTCAGTCTCATGTGAACTAACTAAGATCTTGCGATATTCTTTAGATTTTGTAAATGTCATTTTTCTGTTCTTATTGAGATAAGACACTCGTACTCTGCCAAGCGCCCACAGACAAATTAGTTTCAAATTTGAGATCACCTGACAGGCAGGATGTTTCCAGCAGCTGTTGGACGGTGGGCATTGGTCCCATCTGCTCCCATCTGATGTAAGCATCCTGAGACCGTTCACGTTTCGATCCAAGCAGACAGATATTCACTATACTGCAGGATGTTTAATACTGGATGTCTCAGGATCATACCTGTATTATTTTCTAACTCTAAGGTCAGGGTTTATTAATGCTAGCTACATAATGCTAAGTCAGTAGCTGCTAATGCTAATGTGCTATGAGCTCCAAGCAGTTTACTGTTTCTCCTAAAGCACTTGTTTGAGTGTTGTCCCTTGAAAGAGAAGCGCATATTCTCTGTAGACTGTATTTTCTAATATCTAGCGCCATCTGCTGGTGGAGGGGCTCTATGACAGCCAACAGGTGCACTGTATGAAGAAACAACAATTTTTTCCTCCTCACACTGATTCGACAAGGTATTTTATCCATCCGTCCATCCATCCATTATCTATACACCGCTTAATCCTCACTAGGGTCGCGGAGGGGCTGGAGCCTATCCCAGCCGACTTAGGGCGAAGGCAGGGAAGGTATTTTATGTCTTACATTAAATGTTTAATACTTGTAAAACATAAACCAGATTTACAGACAGAGCCAAGAGACCTGACTGTCTTAACAACACTTTCCCCTCCAGTTAATGTGTCACAATGTTCAGTGTTTACAGTGTAATTCAGAACAGTGCAATGAATTGTTTAAGATTAAGGATTTGCTATATTTACTATTTATAAAGCTGGAAGGCCAACAAGAGACAGCTTTTTCCTGACTTTTAGTCCCGAATTAAGTGCTGATTTAGGTATGTGTGTTAAAGATAGTATATAATAAAATAGAAAAAAAAGCAAACATTAATCAAAGTTAAGTAAATAAAGGCACAGACAAGTTTAATAAAAGTACATGCAGTTAGACCAGAATTCAATTCTTTGTTTGTTTTTTAGTGTTTGTCAGTGTAATTGTCTTCTTAGGGAAACCAGTAAGGAATGTATTACAGTCGTCCACTTTGCAAACACTAAAAGCATGAATGATGAATGAATGCTTTTTTAAAAAAATCTTGCTTGGATACAAAATTACTCCAGAATGAGGATTTATTTACATCAATCACCCCCAACACAACCTGATCACATCTTTTATTAGAACTGTCCTGCCATGAAACTGGTCATGGCTTTCAAACTCCAGATGCCCTCGGCGCTTGCTTGTCAAAAGTTTAAAATGTATTTCCAAAACCGGGATTACCGTGATGTCATCGTGAGAGGAAATTTAATAAGAAAAGCCTTCAGATATCTTATCAAGGGACACAGAAAACATTGAATTGCTTTTCACGTGACGAGTAAACAGGTCTTCATTAGTGGCTCTTTGGTGAAATGATAAATAAAATAGCACACTGACACATGAACTAGTGTTTTCCATTTGATTTATTTGTTCTTTAAATAATGAATATTGG